AATTACTTGAATACTTTTAATATCATGTATCAGTAGATTATCAAATGTACTATTTCTACAATAATTTTTATTATAATTTCATAGTATAATTCAGCTTTACAAAAACATTATAAAAAGAAATACAATTTTAATATAATTTTTACTACATTTTCTCCGTAGAGCTGCATAAATGGAAATTTTTTACTCCTTTTCTTTCTTGCGCGTTTTTGATCCGTCGATAGTGAATTTCAAAATGATACGAAATAATATAAATTGGTATAATGAGAAATTGGCATAATTTTAAAATAGGTGAGCGTTAAAAATAATATAAATAATATAAATAAATAAATATAAATATAAAGAAATAATATAAATTGGTATAATGAGAAATTGGCATAATTTTAAAATAGGTGAGCGTTAAAAATAATATAAATAATATAAATAAATAAATATAAATATAAAGAAATAATATAAATTGGTATAATGAGAAATTGGCATAATTTTAAAATAGGTGAGCGTAAACGCGCCGTAATTAATACGGCGTAATTATCACAGAGGAAATAGTAAAAATGACAAAAAACATATTTTGTTATCTTAAACCATACGGCCGAAATTACTATATATTTGATTAAAAAATGTTATGCATATTTGACTACAAAATTATTGTAATTACTTGAATACTTTTAATATCATGTATCAGTAGATTATCAAATGTACTATTTCTACAATAATTTATATTATAATTTCATAGTATAATTCAGCTTTACAAAAACATTATAAAAAGAAATACAATTTTAATATAATTTTTACTACATTTTCTCCGTAGAGCTGCATAAATGGAAATTTTTTACTCCTTTTCTTTCTTGCGCGTTTTTGATCCGTCGATAGTGAATTTCAAAATGATACGAAATAATATAAATTGGTATAATGAGAAATTGGCATAATTTTAAAATAGGTGAGCGTAAACGCGCAATAGTAATAACACATTGTTTGAATTGATAACAAGTAATAAGGACGAGTTACAAAGTAACTTTTCCAATCCCCATGGAAACATATCTCGATTAAAACAATTGCTACTTTTACCGTTAGAAACGTAAAATCCCAATATTGTAGATTCGTAAACGAAGGATATTTACGATAAGTATAAACGTCATTTGCCGCTATCACTCGTCGATTTCGGCGAAGATCTGAGTCCCGACTTGAGACTCACCTGTTTCAGTACGAATCAACTCGAAGAGATTTACGATACTTCCCGAAACAATTCGGTGCAGTCGCCCAGCGCGCTCGCGGGCTTCCGGTGCTGCGCCGGCATCTCCGGAACGCATAAAATCCGTTTCGACCGCAACGACGGCTGCCACGGTTCAATCAGTAAATTCAGCCACAAGTGGAGTATCGATAGTAGTATCGCGTAGTATCGCGTATGTGCACGTATCTGTCCTGTCCAAACTATCGCACCCGTGAATCCACTTCGTCGACATTTTACGACCGTCTCTCCCTCGGCCCGTCTCTTTCCCTCATCCTATGTCTACCAAACGCGACAACACCCTCCTCCGAAATCGTCTCCCTCAGATAATCACGACGAAGATTTTTTTTATTTTCCTCTGATTCCTGACTACAAGCGTCAAGTATGAGGAAAATCATGCTGATCATAATGTTTAGTGATTGACCGAGACAAGCGAAAAACCGAGACAAGAAGAAAACGTATTTCCCTAAGTATATTCTAACGGGAGAAATCACATTGAGAGAAATTATCCGACAAAAAAATTAACAAACGGATATTACCGATCAAAATATCGATGAATTTTTATATCCGATCAGGATATCCGATTAAATTTAATCGAATACTTTTGACCATAATGGAATTTCATTAGATAAACCGATCAAAAAATTATGAATCGATATTTCTCATCGTATGTTTCCTGATCATATATAAAAATTCATCAATATTGTGATTGGAAATAACCGTTTGTTAATTTCTTATCGAATAATTTCTCTCAGTGTACAAGAATGACAACATAGGTAAGAGGTTCGATCTGATCTTCTGTTCAAAGTCTATAAAATCTACTAAAGATATTGGGTAAGAGTCTGTTAACCTAGAAGCACATATATATAGTAAGCTCAAGTCAAACGAATTCACACATTCCCGCAGTGGATTAAAACATTCTCTATCTCGTGACCAATGCTTATTTTGAAGGAAAGTGATAAACGCCAATTCTTTTATCGCGTGCAACTATCATCTTAAACGGCCACTTTGAGTATTTACTGCGCTCGTAAAATGTAATGGTCTGTTGCTCAATATGCGTAAATTTCGCCGTAAAAAGAGATAATCGATGTTTAGTGCCTTATCACACGAACATAGAGTGCAAATGAATTAAGTCGAGCGAAAGAAGCTTGCTGAAAATGCACTTTACATTGTAATACACCATTTCGTCGTTGTCTGACAGTTCTCTGCGACTGTAACTGATCCTTAAAATTGTCTAGTAGTACTTATTAGCGTTGATCGTAACGCAAATGAAATCAACGTACAGCTACATGCTTCGTGATATAAAACAGCTAAGAAAATCAAAAACGTCACGTAAATCCGAGAAACGGGTAAGCGCGAGGTCGGCGTGTTTTACCTCTTATCCAACAATTATGATCGTCGGTCTCTTCGGTTACCTTGGTAAGAGGAATCGTATTGGATGGCGCGTACACGATACCGCTTGCGCGTCGTACGAAGGATATTAAACATAAAAGCTCGTATACATATATCAAATCCTTTTCCGCGACTAGCTTCATTTTACGACCAGGAGTTGTTCCCGCGCGGACGCTCACCACACGCATGCACTTTCTTCATTCGAGTTTCATTCCCTGCCTATCTCGGCGATACGCCCGTCTTCAGTTGTTTAGATTGCATTGTTCGCATACGCGGTACTTAGTGCATTACATGATGTTTTCTGGAATGTGCCGTCGCTATTACGAGCCTGACGAGAATAAAAAAGTCGAAGCCCCTCAGAGCAGTAAAGAAAAAAAAACACAAGATAGAGAGGAAAGATTATAGCTAACATATTTTTGCGATAATATATTTATATTGTAATGATATAAAACGATCATATAAAAAATATATATTATATAATATAATTATATATTATAATTAATATATTATATGATATAATTATATATTAAAAATATATATTATATAATATAATTATATATTAAAAATATATATTATATAATATATTATAAATAATATAATTATATAATATATAATTATATATTTATATTCAACTAATATTGTTTTTGCTATCAATATTGGATAGACGCAAACGCTGATATAATGCCACGATATAAGTCGTATTGACAGTAAATCGCGGTGTAAATTGTCACACCTTCAATACGTAATCCTTGCGTATATATAGCCATAAGTTGATATTTCTTTAAAAAATTAATTTCCTACGGTTGAGAATCAAGGTATACGTCCCTGTAACGCAATTTTTCATTGACGTACATGAAATAACGCAGCAATACGTAAAACATGATGGAATAAATTGCTTTTTCTCATCCGTGAACGATCTAATTGAACAACAGGTCTTTATTTTCAAGAAACACAGACATTCCTCCTAGAATAAAATCGCATTGCATTCAATAGAGTGCAATCATGACGAATACGTGGGATGAAGTGAGAGATACGATGTAACCCGTTGTCCTCTGATTCCGGAAGTGGTTTGAGACACGTGTGTACGTGCCTAGTGTTTTATTTTTCGGTGCCCCGTAATGTCCACGTATCCCTAAAGCCGGCACTGGCCCACGGAATCGCGGCGAAGTCACGTCGTGACGCCAACCGCACGCTGCTGGCTCGCCGAGTCAGGCAATCACGGACGACGTTGTTGCATTCGCAGGCGCGAATGCAGTGCTGTCAGATGTATCGATGCGTCTCGAAAACAGCGGTACTTCTGTCGCGGCGGTGCGTTGAACATTCGAAACGCTCTCAGGTACATCGCGCCGTGACATCGTACCGATTTAAAAAATCGATCTGCAAAGTTTCTGTGTCGAAATAGTCCGCGCGTACGTTGCTATTGCGAATATCACATTTCACATCAATATTTCTCGTGGGCATATACGTGTTATGTAAAGTCGCTATCTCTCGTATTTAACACGCGTCTACACGACTGATGTTTCTCGGTATCATACTCATTACAGGTACACGCGAGAGACACCACATTCTCGCGCTTAATTACTGTCCGTGCCGCAGTATACAGGTTGCGATTATCAGAAAATTTTCACCGCGCTATGTTTTTATCATTTCTACTGTCTTGCTTACCGCTTTATCAAATCCAATATGTCTTTTATCTCCGAGACATTGATTAGTTTCGGTAAACTTGCAGTGACAATACGCGTATTTCTATGAATTTATATGGATATTACTTTTCAATCGTCCCGTTAATTATCTTCGGGAGTTAGATTTCATGTGTGACAGTACTTTTACTATAAACTCACATTTTACGTGCATCAGTGAATGAGAGTTTGCAACACTCTCACCTCGATGCAGTTCGGAACGCATCCAGAGGAAAATTTATTGGCCGAAAAATACTAAAAAGTAAGTTATCATCCAGTCGGATACGTTGCGAAACTCATTGAGAAGGTGTTGTAATCTGTTTTCCACCGGTTATACAACGTGCATATTATACGCTCAGTCGCAAATACATTTCCCAATTTGTCCTGTATACTCGACAGAGCCAGTCATTGACGACACGCTCAGAACGTTGCATCGATTTGTGCGCGTCGATATGGCAATGTCATAGAAAAAAATGCCCCATGCGAAAACTCACCGCGTAAAAACGCATCGCGATCGAAGTCGCCTGACAGCGCTGTATGTGTATGTGTGTGTCGCATAGGTATAATTTACGCGGCGGTCGGTCGACTCCGTCGGATGGATTCAATCGTAAAACCTCGACGTTCCGTCTAAAGCCGCGTGCCACCTCCACCCGGCCGACCACTACACCGCTGCGAGAGCCCCCTCCCGGCTCCTCGCACTCCCGGAGTAACCTCCGTATCTCCTCCCTTTACCTCGACGTTGCTCCCTCTCCGCCGCGTTGCCCGCGGCCAACATGCATTTCGCGACGTGCCGCTGCTACCAGCACTCTTAGTGAGTTACGGACTGCATGCAGTCGCGCGTCGAGCGTACTGGCGGCTCCCGGAGTGTTTCCATTTTGCTTCGCTGTTTCTTACATCTGCCTCATAACCGCCGGACTCTCACCTCGACATCGCGCGGACCGACGTGTATCGCGGGACTTTACTTGACAGTGGCAGGCGATCAAGGCAGGATCCGAGCTCGTCGTTGGAGCCAGCTCGACGCAGCAAGGGGTTAAGGAAAAGATTGTACGTATTCGCAAGGAAGAATTGGTGATCCGACAGGGAGAGGGAGCAGAGGGGGAGAGAGAGAGAGAGACATAAGAGAGAAAGGACGGTATTTGACGAGCTGCAAGGGAGAGAGACGAGAGACTGGACGCAGTGCGCGTGTGCAGTGTGTGCGCGCGCGACTTTATCGTTTGCGTTTTGTTGTGCTACAAACTTTCGGTGCACATAGTTGGCGACGTCCGTTTGTTGGTTAGGTTAGGTTCGTCAGTTCGTTCGCGTGACTGTCCGCCCGCGTATCGTTGTGACGACGATAGCGGCAGTGGCGGTGGCAACGACTGCTACGACGACAACGACGACTTCGTCGCAAGGCCGTGGACATTTCGCAACACGGCTCATCTTTCTAATTGAGGGGACACGCGGTTTATCGAGACACGGACGACGAAGACTATAAACGGATCGGGTGAGATAAAAACAGAAAGGGTCGCGCGAAAAGGGGAGAACGAGAGAAAGGCGAGAAAAGTGGCAAAGAGGGGAGGACTGTCCATTTCCGGGGGCGGAGACTTCCTGCCGCGTTTGCCCCCCTTCCTCCCTGCTGCTTCACTTGTTCGTATGACCGTACTTTGGCTACGTGTGTGAGTGCGTTCTGTATGTGAGAGATACAGAGTGACGGAGCAGCGCGGCGCGGCACAATAATCCTCGCGCTCTGTCGTAGGTCATTGACGAATACGCACGTGTAACGCCACGGCGTTTCGATCGGTCGCGTGGGAGCGGATAGACCGCGCGAACGTTTCGTTATACATGCGTTACGCGCTAAAGCCCCCGCGTCGGATCTCGCGTGATCGCCGGATCGCAACAGTGTTGCTCGCGTGTGACGAGAGGCAGCCAGTGGTGGACCCTCGACGCGACACCGCCAATTTATCCCCTGTTGTTGGTCGTGAAAGGGACAGCCGCCGAGCGAAGCAGGAGGAAAAGAGGCGAAGAAGGTGACGTCGCGCGCCAGAGGTAAGTCGTTATTCTATGCGCACATGTTATTAGCCATCTTGTGTGTCCCGGAGAGGTTATGTGGACGATACGCGCGTTGTACTCTTTTTTTCGACGAAGTGGAAGGAGAACATATAAAATAGCTCTTATCGATACGGAGAAGACATTAGCAAAACATTTTGGTTAATGATAGATAAATTGCAAAAACATGTTTGTTTTGACTTCAGTTTTGAGATTACTTGTCTGTGTACGTAACATCATTTAAATTAGAAATTAGAGGTTCTGGACGGAGAGAGAAAGATATATAAGTGATCGCGCTGACACGTGTGTGTGTGTATGTGAATGTTATTTTTTATGTATATTTACAATGAGTGAACTTCAATAAGAGAGAGAGAAAAAATTGTCAATTTGATAAAATTGTAATGAGAAACATATTTAAATGGATGACATGTATCTCATTATCACTTATATTTTGCTTACGGCGATCTTCCCGATCATGCAACACTTACATATGCATATAATAGCGAACGCACACATGCCAATGAGGATATGCGAAAATAGAACATGCATTCTAATTCGAATCAAGTTTTGACTGTTTTGAACTCGAGGAGTCTCGCGCGCGCGCGCGCGTACAAATTTCACGGTGCAGTTGCTGCTGCCAACTCTATGGCGCTGTAAACTTTCAGTTGGCTATTTGCATCGGAGGCAAGTTCTTAGTGCGGGATACTGTTTCATTGTCTTATGCCTTTGTCTGACGAAAACTTCACGAAGATGTGCCGCTGATAGTCGCATCGTTCTTCGATCGATTCCACGCGATCTCTTATTCAGTCGCCTGGCAATCTCCTTATCGACGTAAGAGCAGGATTCGCCATTGAAGTCACAGTTGCTCGTGTATCACAGGTAATGAGGAAACCGTTATAGAAACTTAGACGCCATCCTTTTAAGCGTTTTTCATTCGTTGTCGTACTCGCCGCGTACATTTTGCGAGAAAACGCGTCTTGTCCTGCCTGTGACCTTCATTTCTCCATATTACCATTGCGTGAAATAAGAGCCCCGGAATGCGTACGATATATCGGCGATCGACAATTGACCTATTTTCGAATTCGCGTAGAGGAGAACGTGCGATCCTTCATGCAGCCTACCGTTATCTCGGATACAATGTCGAAGCGTTGGAATCGCAGGATATGCAAACACGACCAATATTTATTAGCGAGTCGTGGTGTGTCACGGCAGATAGAGCGAGAACGTAAGAACGAGGAATGTCGCGGTGGAAGGTCTCGCGCGAACGCGCTACGTCGCAACTGATAATGAGCCTCAACGAGCGCCGGCAGCTCGCTCGCAATTAGACGAAGTCGTTTACGTGATTCCTAACTTGAGCCGTGAGTCGACGATATCTGTCTCTCCACGCGTGAAGGATGCCAGGAAATCGTCGTTAGATCGAAAATCACATGTAGTGCGAACCGGGATACAATGTAACTGGCGGAGATAGAGATATACGCGTTTCCTAGCGCGTTTCCTAGCCCGTTGAAACGACGCGATTGCATTCCTCTCTATCTATTCGCGGAGTCGTGCTCGCGACGATCTCCTGATAGCGTCGAGGCGCGCCGTATCTGTGATTTATTCCGAATATCTCTCTCTCTCTCTCGCGCGCGCGCCCCCTCTCCCTCCTCTTCTGTCTCCCTCTGTCTTTATCTCTCTTAGGCATGGTATAAATTCACTACACATCGGCACGACGGAGTCTGTTGAACTCATTGAGATTTTTATGAGCGTTTAGTTACAATGACACGCGGTATTATTCGTGGATACTTGGTGTAACGCTGTGTGACACGCTGTTTGCCCATTCCATGAAATAAACAGTTGATAAATATTCTCCGCGATACGATATTGGATTGGTCGCGGTGTTATCGCGCCGACTTATTCCATCCATTACTCGTCAACCTTCGGTCAGTAGCAGTCGGAGAATTATTAATGGCAACGTCGATAGGAAGAGATTAATCAAAGTGACAGGAAACGCTCGCCGCGATACTTCTTATTTAGAGCTGTGAATTGGGTAATTGTGTAATTAATCGGACGAGTGGAGAGTCCAGAGTTATATAATTGCAGACTTGAATGCAGTCTTGGAGAGTAATAAGACATCATTCGCGGCTAGCTTATCGCGATTCTCCGGGTTCCTCTGCGCGCACAACGAATCGAAGTAAATTTATGAATAATCGGTCCGTCGAGTCATCGCGAAAGACGTTGCGAATTATATGACTCCGCAGCAGGCGATGCTGGCGATCGCATGCGGATTTCAACCTCAGCGGCGGCCATTATTACCGCGAATGAAAGCACCGATCAGTACCAATGTGATCTATTCTGTAGGGATTACATCATCGCCGTTGATTTCCTACAACGTCGCAGTGTTGAAACTCAGGATTGATCTGTCGAATGTTCCTGCACCTAAATACACTCTCATAAAATTATTTACGTAAAATTGGCTGTATGCGGCGGAATGACCGTCGTTTGTTTTTACGAAATAAACGCTTGTCGAATAAATCATTGGCTGTCAGAGTTTCCATTTTACAATTTCTATTTTTCTTTTTAAATTTGCTGAGAGAAGAAGCATGACGAGTGTCGTTATAACGTCTGCGTTCGAGATATTTCGAAGCAATTGTTAAGTTACTTCATCGTTCGCGAGACATAATAGTAGAAATAACATTCGTGAGAAATTTTCACCCACGTTTCGAATTTTGATATAGTACAACATACACACACACAGTAATGCGCATATACGTCGTGCTGCAACAAACTCCCATACAATTATTCTACTTGCTTGAATTTGGTCGAGGGTTTTTCTTCTCGGTAACTACGGCGCCGTGTCTCACCACTCACCACATTGTTCTTTAGTTCCAGTAATTGTGGTATACGTTGCCGGTTCTAAGTAATAAGTGCTTCCCAGATCTTGTGCTTGCGGGAAAACCCGCAATAATAATTGGCTACACGCTGCGACTTTACTTAAAACAGATGCATTTCACGAGCATCTGCGAGTATGCTCGCATTCGCGTGGAGAAACGCGTAGGCTCGCAATTTCCGGTGGCTGATCCTTTTCTTCGCTATTGTATATTAATTAACGTCGATTAAAGCAATTTAATAGGCCACCTATTCTAATCGGCTACATCTCTATTCATTTTTATCGCTTTATCCTTCATGAATCGCGTGTTCTGCAGCATTTCGCTACCGTATTTTTATCGTATTGCTAAAGCAGATATAAGTCCGTTTCCTCTTTCTCTTGATATCGTTTTTAAATATACTAATGTATCTGTAGTGGAAGCACAGAAAAAAGTCGCTAATGAGAAATTATCGGTGTAGAAGCGACAAGATTAAAAAAAAAGGCAAAGTAACGTACCTCGCGTAGATTTATTTGTTAAATTTGTGAAATCCGCAACTTTCACGTCGCTGATTCTGCATGTAATTTGTGATCTTTCGTTCTCATGCGCGCCACGAGTGTTTAATGAGGTGGATTTTGATGCGATGTATCTCTTGTGCGCCATACACGAGACCTCTTCAATATGGTAGCACACATATAGAGAGTATTTTTACCTCACCTGCCATAACCATCTGCAGCGACGCCAGGGAGAATGTATCTTCGCCTCCGTGAGGTCGTGACTCTCGCGTCCTTCACAGTGGCTTTAGCCGTGTCAGAATTTATCATAATTTTTACAGATGCAGTTTATCCATTATCCATTTCAGGCTCTCGGGTATCCCTTATCTCGGCTATCGTATACACGAATCATCGCCGGTAATAGATCTCACGGAACTCTGTTGTTGCGTCCTTGTAATTGTCGTGACAAACGCGATGTATTTCTAAATACTGCACTTTACTTTGTCGTCCATTTTATCCGGCGTCGAGGCCAAAGTGTTTCGCGCCAGTGCTTTATTCGTCGTTGAAATTTCGTCGCGTGCACGATAATAACGGTGTTGTCTGCCAAGTTCACCCAGATACACGCTACACGCTAATATTTACTCGACGTTGATAGACCGGACCTCTAACTCATTTTTATGTACGGTGATACTTTTTAACGACTTTGTAAAAAAAAATCGGAACTTTCAATTGCGTGTATTTAAATGCGTATTTCACTCATATGATTTATTTCATTTATGTATTTTATTTATGTGCTTTTCATTTATATAGTACTCCTTGCTATCTTGATCGTTAAAATCAAGTCGTATCAAATAATGCTGATCTTTTTGCATTTCACTTTCATTATACCGATTGTGACAATAGAGGCGGTAGAGTCTGTCACGCGAGCCATCGTTTATTTCAGTCTCCATTGATCATTTTCGCTAATTAAAACTTTGTTTATTTTTATGCCATCGAAGGAATAAACGCAATTGCCGATGTACCGTCAGTAGATAAGAGCGTTATTTATTAATACTTAAGTAGCATCTCTCTATGTGACACGGTCCGATCGAACGCGCGCCAGTATGTTTTACGACTTTCAAGTCGATTATACTTTCGATCACCGTCAAAGTACAGGCCGCAAAAGTTACTTTGTATTGATCGATCATGAATAATCTACGGTGGAAGAGGGGTTTCACGGTGAATTGCGTATTGATTATCGCAGCAATAAGACAGATACGTCAATAGTAACTATGTTCGGGAATACCGTTAATATTATTGTAAAAGTAATTTTCCTCGACTCATGTACGACAAGTTTATTTATTCTTCATGTAAATATAAAAATTTTGAGGCAATTGACATGAGAATTTTTTAGAGGATCGCGTGAGTCTAAATATATTTCATCTATAGCAGTCTATTAGATAAATTTTATATTGTCGTGGTCTAATCATATTTCTTTAACTGCAATTCTCTTTTATTCTTTCTCTTCCATTTAAGTAATGAAAAACTTGTATTGTGTGTTTCAGAAGGCAGAGTTGCAAGAACGCTTGAACAATACAAGACAATCTCTCTCGGGCTGCAACTCTACGCGTACCATAACGATATAAAGCGCGATTTCGTCCGAGCGAGATTAGTCGTTCCTCGTCCGACTCGGTTCGGTTGACGTCGGCGAGAAAGATCTGATTACTATCATTCCCCGCCGTCGTGTGGGAACAGACACGAGATCGGCGCTTTTTGTTCATTGCATAGAGATAGAGATTCAATAAAAATTCAACGTCATAGGCGTCATGGATAATATGGATATGAACAGATCTGAGCCAGGGGAGTCAGACGCATCTTTGGAAGCCAAGCGGGCATCACCTGTTTGTACGGGATGTTTTAAGCTAAAGCCTACAGCATCAAATCGGGCATCACCTCTTTGTGCGCGATGTCGCAATCATAATTTGAGCATCCGTCTCACAGGCCACAAGAGGTACTGCAAGTATCGACACTGCACGTGTCGCAAATGCCAGGAAACCGCAACTCGGCAGAGAAAGATGGCGAAGAAGACGCGTCAACAAAGAGCACGCAAGCAGGATAAGGATAAGGAGCTCAAGCCCGAAGAGGTCAGTCCTTTCTTGTTCCACAAGGCGAAGGTGCACATTCTTCATGGGGATCCTGTGATCGTACGAAACCTCGTAAACAAATACTCGTTTGCGCTTTATCATAGATTACAATTTAAACTCTTCCAAGATCAATGAATCGTGTATTTTCCATTTCCACGTTCAATGTTCAATTTTGTGAGGAAACTTTTAAATTCCACCGACCACGTGTTTATACTTGGCGTCTGAATGACCGCGTGCGAATTTAACGTTCTCAAATTCATACTCATTCGAGTCTCAAGTTGACAATCGCCACAAACATTATCAATGTTTGCACTCGCAGCTTTAAACTGATTACCAAACAATTTCACTGTGCCGAGATAGCACGGATATTTAAACACGATCTTAGGTAAGGGAGTAGCGTATATATCGGTCGACGATCTATAAATGCCGTGAACTATCACGCAGTCAAGTCTTTAACCGAACATTTGTTGATTTCCTAACTTCTGTTGAATCCAGTTTGCTCTACGGGGTTCGAGGGAATGCATTCCTCTCGGAAACGCGTTAATAGCTTTGAAAAATTTCGCATTATCGATTTAGACTTCTTTCTCGATTACTTTTCGTGAATAATTAATTTTAAATAGTTGACTAAATAATTAATAGGTTTTTTAAATTTTATTATATGCTAATAGAGAGGGAAAGTTTTACGCGTCACAATGTTTTGCAACCCTAATATTCTTTTTTCTCGATATTATGATTGTAATTGATCTTCTCTTAGCAGGTAGATCCATCGGCTTCCGATGTAGAGGACGCACTCGAATCCGAATCCGAACCCGTGGAAAAGAAACGAAAGAGTGAGTAATATTAACATCATATTTTTTTGCACGAATGAAACGAATGATTTTACATCTTTTAACTTTTGTGTTGGCACCAAAAGTAATTGTTCAGTATTACGGCTTATACTTAAAAATTTCGGATAATCTAGCAAATCTTTGCGAGTAGTTACTTCGTAGAAAAAATTGCGAACTAAAAGTGAAATCGCGGAAAACTGCAAAGAGCACCGAATTAGAATATACAAATATTTAGTATTCGCGGCTCTCTCTAATAAACTTAAATCGAAACGCCTGATTACCTGATATTCATGTGGAGTCATAGTCTGCTGTTGTTAATCGCAGTTGCGATTGCACATTTTACAGTAATCAAATCCGTCGCGTCGTCACGGACTTTCGACGAATAATGTCACACGTCATGATATTGATGCACAGGATGTCATTTGTCTGGCATTTGAACATCTCGCGTAGTAACATGTGTAACGTGTTATTTAACCGACGATAGTATCGGTAACCTTTACGTCATGATGTGACGAATGGCATTTATCGCCATTATGATTACGTATTGCCATTAAGATTCGCGTATGATTACGCGAACGAACGGAAAGCTGTAATCAAACATTTCAGAATGGTACGATATTGCAACAAGTTTGCGCGCTACTCCCGTCATCGAAATTACGCACATAAAATCTAACGTAAATATTCGAGCTCGTGCTCGTGTCGTGCGTGTGGAAATCTGGTAGCAATTCCGTATTCTCTGGTATAATCCGTTATATACACTAAAGATAAATATCTGATATATCTTTAACTTATATATATATATATATATATATATATATATATATATATATATATATAATTACATAGAGAAATAATCACTGCAAATTGTGACTAAGAAAATCATTTCCTTTTTATTAAATTCTATTATAGAAACATTCTTCGTCAAACGCTTAACTTATCTGCGGCTCTCCCGATTAAAAATTGTCACTCGTCAACCATCACGAACAAAATATTAGATTAGATAATATTAGATTGCTTATACAATACGGTCTATAATCTTTAGAATTGATTTTTTGCGGCAGTATTAGCAATGTGGTGCTCTCTCTCTCTCTTTCTCTCTCTTTCTATTTATATTATCATCTCTGCATCATCTATATCTCTATAACAAGAATGTTAAAAATTATAGATTATTGCTGAATTATTAGCATTTGTAACTCTTGGGCGCGAGTTATTATGCAATTGTATTCCAACTCTGGACCAATAGTATGGGTAGTTATATGAGCGTGCAGTGAGCGACAATCACATATGCTTTTCACGTTTAGAGCATTGGGAATGTCAGCACGTTTCTCTTGCCGAGCATTAGCCTAGGTACCTAGATTATTTTGTTAGATCAATACAAGGTTAAGAGACGCCGGGACACCAGCTGCAATTGCATCGCATTTTCGTTTACGTGAGTGAGATGTAAATATTTCGTTCCGATCCAAGACTGTCGATATAAGGAAAACGATCAACGGTAATCTGATTTAATGAGCCAATTTCCTGCGTAAGGGAGGTAACTTGAGAGAGGCGTTGTTTAACTCTTGAAGGATTTTTCTTTTTTCGTCGAAGCGCATTTTAAGTTTCTCTTAATGGTTCTCTTAATGATTTTTCCCGCATACATACTTTTCCGGTATTGCGCGAATACTTTTACACGTTTTTATTACAATTTCACGGTCTCACAGACATTTGCGTTTATAACACGGACGACACCGTATTTCCAGCTGTTTGTGGTCGATTAATTTTGTCATAAGCGGCCGATACGATCGCTACACTAACTTCTTCGAAAGGTTCCGACTGAGCTTCTTGATTTCTTTTTGCGCGCTATATTCTACGCGCGTCTCCTTAGTTCCGAAGCTTCCATCCCATCGTAAAAAATAGTTTTTTATCAGGTTCATATATGCATACACATTTGCATGTACGCACGTATACATACGTCGCGGAAATATGCTTGCTTAATATGCATACCGAGTATTCATTTATTACCGCACACCTGCTTGGTGATGCGCGCGCGCACGCACGCACGCACGCACGCACGCACGCACGCACGCACGCACGCACGCACGCACGCACGCACGCACGCACGCACGCACGCGCGCGCGCGCGCACACACACACATACACACGTATGTGTGTGTACGCATTACCGAGATTGCCTACCTGTTGCACACTCCGATTCCTAGCCTTCATTCTTCCCCCTTACCCCCTTCTTCCTGCTTTTTCGATCTTTCATATGCTTACGAAGCCTTTTGCGATGAAAGCAACACTCTCCATGGCTTTGTTGTCCTCTCTTATTCATGCTAAATCCGTTCAATGTTTACGCTCAATGCGACTTCTGCGTATCCGAATTCTCAGTGTGGTCTACAGTGTGCTCGACAAACACTTGTTATTCTACTGTTATGCGTCTTATTAGGAACACAATAACACTGCGAACTTTTCCATTCGAGAAGTTATCGAACATATTATCAGTGATTCTATTCTCCTGATGATCCAAGCAGCATGAGCACTATCTTGCATAAGTAGTATATAATCATTTCTACATTAGCAGATAGACAGTATCCCATACTTTCGTACATACGATCTGCGTATATGCGTCCCAATGAGTATTTAACACACCTATTAATACTCGATCGAAGAAATTCGAGGTAAACCATAAAGTGACTAACGCATTCGAACAGGGTTTTTAACAAATCGTTGTAGAATTATTGTTATTACAGCGGAATGTGTAGATATTTGCGAATATTCAGGTATCAATACGTGCTTGTATGCTCAGAACGTGACGTTAAAGTTCATATTTTACGACGAGATGTTAAAAAGATCGCCTATTTAATACTCAGGAATATCTGCACTTGAAACTTTTATGGGTCGTTAACGCGAGCGTTTTCTATTCTTTTATGGTTTTGTGTAAGAAAGTTCATAAATACCTTTTCTCAATATTAACCAATTTGATACTGATAAATATATAATCGCCAAAAGTGTCGGTCGTAAACGTTTCTTCGATATTCAATTTTACTTTTGTTATTATTTCAGTAGTTATTATTTCAGTAGTTCAATTATCAGTATATTTTACTTTATCTCCTGAACAATATTTATCTAATGAAATATACATCTTCCAAGTACAATCGTTTACAAGCGCGCTGGCGAAATTATGCATTTGAGAATATAATATGATCACAAAAGTACATTTGTATGAGAAAATCGACCAGAAGATAATTAATCAGAAATTCCGAACACGCAGGTACGAGCGTTTTAGATTCACGTCGGATCGTTGCATCTAAAAAAAGGGGAAAATAAGACTTAACACCGTGAGCGAAGTTAATTCTGCTTACGAAGCGATGAGTTCGCCAGCCGATCTCAGTACATTCCGGTTTCCCGACGATTTTGTAACAGTATGACAGCGCCGAAGGTGGCGACAGAGCGTAAAACCGGGAGTCATCGCGTCTCCCGAGAAGTCGACGAATGTCGGAATAAATTTAAATAATCTAACCTAACCTAACCTAACTGCTGAAATATTGTCTCTGCCAAAAACTCGCGAGATATTTTTTTTAAGCGTACGAACATCGGGTCGCTGTATCTCGTCTGTGTCGCAATCTGAACCAATAATTGAAGATTATCGTTCTCGCGAAGCACGCATTCAATTTTCGTATTCAAACTGCGAGTATTAGATGCAAATTGAACAAGATCTCAAATTCCGAAATGAGGTGAAAATATCCTTTATTTTTTTTGCAATGTTATTTCTCGCGGGAAAAAATTTGATTGATACATTAGGTCGATGATGAAAAAAGAATGTTTGCTATTTATAACTATATAATTACACAGAAAAATAATTACTACAAATTATGATGAAAAAAAAACCATTCTTTCTCTCTCTCTCTCTCTCTCTCTCTCTCTCTCTCTCTCTCTCTCTCTCTCTCTCT